ATATTTGTTTTTATTAATTTTAATTAATATTTTATATGTTATAAAATATCTATCTTTTTATAAACATATATATATTTATAGTGATAAATCCAAAACGGTACGCAAAAAATTTCAGTATTCAGTATGTACCGTTTTAGTAGCAAAACCAGTATGCACATCGGTACGGTATTGACAGCTTTGGTAGAGCATGTTGGTGGGTAAGACTACTTTGGTCATGAAAGATGTCACAACCATGTTGTTGGAAAATGATAAGTTTCTTGGGGAGGATGATGGTGCCAATCAAACTAATGCTTTAGTTATGGAGCACTCTCGAGGAAGATCCAATGGATGTGGAGGTGGAAGAAATCGAGAAAGGTTAAAATCTAGACCTAAGAAGGATTATGGTGAAGTGTAGTGCTTCTATTGTGGTAAGTTGGGTCACAAATAGTACAAATGCCCAAAGTTTAAGGAGGACTTTTCTAATATGAAAATATTGATTAAAAGTCAAGAAACCAAGGGCAAAGGGGAGGCTAATACTGTTGAAGAAAATGTGGTTGAAATATTAGCTTGTGAAGAGTGTGATCCTAAGGTAGACTTTCTATTTTCTCTATTTTCCATGGATGTAGACTTGCTGAGAGATGTATAAGTTGAACTACGTTAAATTATTGTCTCAATTTCTTTATCGCTTCCATTTGCGTGAGATTGTAGTGTTCAAAATTCCCAACATATTTGATAGTGGGTGGCAACATAATCATTCCACTAATAGTTTTTAGGTTAAAACGCCATTTTGGTCCCTCAACTGTTGTATGGACCCTCGATTTGGTCCCTGAACTGAAAAAATCCCTGATTTAGTCCTACTGTTTACCATTTTAACCCCAGCTTGGTCTTTCCGGTAAAAATGGACTTATGTGGACCGTTACTTGACGGAAAAAAGATGACAAGTTAAATATCTTGCCACATAGGATTGACAATGAGATAAATTATAAAAATAAAACTATTAAATGTTAAATTATAAAGATAAAATTACGTTTTTACCTTCTTCTTCAATCACAAATCACTTTCTTTCCTTCCTCCTTTCGTTGCCCCTTACTTTTCATCTTTAATCTCTTTCATTGTTCATCTTCTTCCCCTGGATCCTTGTTTGCCGGCTTGGGTTTTAATCCTCTCCTTTTCTCATCTCCTCATCATCTCTTTCCTTTATCATTTATCATCTCTTCTTCGAAACCCAACAGATTTGCTGATCGAACCCAGCGATTTGCTGGGTTCTTGACAACCCAGCGACATGCTAGGTTCGATTAATCGAATCCAGTAGATCCGCTAGGTTCTCGACAACCCAACGATCTGCTGGGTTCGATAATCAAACCCAGTGATCTACTGGGTTCTCAAGAACCCAACAGATTGGGTTCGATTAATTGAACCCAGTGATCTACTGGGTTCAATTTTTTTTTTTTAAATATTTATGTTTAGAAGCTTGAATTTTAGGGATATTTTTGGGTTGCAGTTGATTATTTTGCTAATGAATATTTTGTTTGTGTGGGATATTCTCATTGAGAATTTGGCAAAAATTGGTTGAGGGAAAAAATTTGCCCATATAGCTGCTTATGATTTTCGAACCCAGCAGATCACTAGGTTCGATCAAGCACCCAACGATCTGTTGGTTGGGGTTCAATTTTTTTTTTAAAATATTTATGTTTAGAAGTTTGAGTTTTAGGGATATTTTTTTGTTGTAGCTGATTATTTTGCTAATGAATATTTTGTTTGTGTGGGCTATTCTCATTGAGAATTTGGCAAAAATTGGTTAAGGGAAAAAATTTGCAAATGGCTACTTATGATTGGAGACTTTCTTACAAGAATATAGAGGTTGAACTTAGAGATCTACTGGATGGGTTCGATGGAACCCAGTAGATCTACTGGGTTCAAAAAACTTTAAAATGCTTTAGTTGGTTTTTTTTTTTTTTTTTTTAGAATTTTGGAAAAAGATGCCTTGATTTTTTTGGGTTTTTTGGGGAGGTTGAAAGAAAGAATTTAGGGCGATGACTAGTCTGGGGAGATTTTGGGTTTGTATTATTTTTTGATTTAATGTTAGAAAGTGTTAGGGTTTGCAGAAGGCGAAAGGAAAGGAAGAAGATGAAAGGGACAAAAGGAAAATCAAAGGAAAAAAAAAAAAGGGAAAAGGAAATATTTTAAGGTTTTTTGTTGCCATGTCATTGTTTTTTTTGCCATGTTGTCATCTTTTTCTGTCAGGTAATGGGACACGTAAGTCGATTTTTAACAGAAGGACCAAGTTAGGGTTAAAATGGTAAACAGTAAGGATCAACTCAGAGATTTTTTCAGTTTAGGGACCACATCGGGAGACCATATAATAGTTGAGGGACCAAAATGAAATTTTAACTTAGTTTTTATTTTTCATTAATATATTGTTGTCAGCCATCCGTGGCTCTATTAATCAAATATTTGTTTCCCGAAAATGAAAAATAGAAGTTTGACCGCTTTGCAAACGTGGTAAAGAAATCTAATTACAATTAGAAAAGAAAATTTTGATGAATCCATTTGAAAAAATATTACTAACTGGAGAAATACTAATCCATGTGATATGATAATCTACTGTAATAATTTATTTTAATGAAATTATACATATCTTGTCTTAAACCAAAAAGGAAAATTGCCAACCTGGGTTTTCTAATTTTCTGCCTCCTTTTTTCCTTTTTTGCCAAATTCTGCTGTGTGTGTAACATTTAGAGCACAAAATCCGGAGACAATTAAATTTAGAAAGAAAATCAGAAACGGCAACAAAAAAAATCTTAACGGAATATAATTTCCAGAGAAATGCATCCTCTCCCCATTACAACTCTATCCAAAGAATATTCTGTTTTTGACAGAAAATTTCATTGAATATGGAAATTACATATTGAAATTTACCTTCTATTTTTAGAACTTTCTCTTTCAAGAAAATGCAGGCCCCTTTGCTTCTTTCAAGTAAAAATCCTGCCCACCAATTTTTTCTTATATATACGGAGTCCAAACTCTAAATTTTGATGCAGTAAATCAAAAACAATCATTGACGATCAACGTAAGATGAAGAAAACAGAGGACAAGGAGACATCCTCACAATATGGACGTGAGTTCCACAAAAATTCAGATGAACTCGTGACCACATGTGGTGTAGAAAGTGGTATAACTATTTTAGAATCCTCGGAAAATGCGGTTTTAAACCTAGATGGGCACCTGCCCAAGAACAACCCTCTACTGGAGCTCACCAATAAGAATGATGGTGAGCTGCTCTGCCTACTGATGGGGGAGCAAGAGAGTGGGAGCCTAAATAATGATCAGATGGCTGCAGAAGGGATTGGCTGGTGGACTAAACTGATGGATGAGATGAGCCGTGAAGAGTTCCAGCAATTCTATGCTGCGCTTCGGATTTTCCGAGGGAGGGTGTACACTCAAGTACAACAAAGGCACAAAATTAGGGATTCTAATTCTACAGAAACGAGCACCTCTAATAGAGGAACTAATGCTAGGGTTAAGCGTAGCCATAGACGCTGATCTTTTTTTTCTTTTTCTTTTTTTACAATAAAATATTGTAATTTTCCTTCCCTTCAAGTTGATTAAAAAGCTTGTAATTTTTTGTTATACATTGGAAAGATGAGAAAAATGAAGAGTTGTTAAAGAGAAGGAATCTGATCTTAAAAAAACCAAAAAGACTTAATTAGCGGTCATAGCAGCTTTATCTTTAAACAAAATTAAAAAGACTAATTATTATTTTAGTGAAAGACATTTCAAGATTAAATTTGAGGCTTTAAAGTAAAAAACTAAAAAAACCTTAACACCACATGGAGTAACGAGTTCATTGACTTTTTCTGAATCCCATATAATTCACAGGCAAGGGCTGCTAATTTTACAAGAGATTTTATATACGCTGTATCTTTAGAAACTGGCATCTCGAATCAATGTGGGTTAATGCTTGCAATGCTTGCAGCCTGTCTCATTATCATCTCCCAGGCGAATGCAAGTTGTTGGTATTTGTTAAGGCATAACACAAGTCTCATCACACTACCTACGAATGGGTTATTTGCTCTGGTAATGGTGTTTCTTTATATAATTATTACTCCATTAACATTGTCTTTGTATTGTCTTATAGGGAACATCATAGTTAGTGGTTAATGTTTGAATCTTTATATTAGAGATTTTAAATTTAAATTTTAAGATGAAAAAATAAAAATTTGAAAAAAGAATGACTATTCCTTATTATATAATTTACCATGCAATATACAAAAAAAAAAGGGGGAAAAAAAAAACGTTATCTTAGTAATACACCTACACTCCTCAGTTAGTTGCTTAAAGTCACTTGCAGTCTTAGATCTCTATGCCTCTGCTCTATGCGTTGAGCCGGGCTTTATTTCCCTTAACTTATCCAAGATACCTTTTGTTTTATTGTTAACTTTAATTGCAAATAATTCTTCGGTTCTTTGGGTCAATGGCCTATGTGTTGGGCCGGGCTTGATTTTCCCCAGTCAAGTTATATATTAAAAAAAAAGCCTTTTGTATTATTGTGAATTTTAAATTCACTCTAAGTTGTTTGGGTTTTGGGCCTCTGGCCTATGTATTATACCGGGCTAGATTCCCCTTTTCCCTTGACTCAACGGGCCCGGTTATTGCCACGAATTAGTTTGTTTTTGCCACGAGGACCAACTTTTTCTCCTGCTTGGATAACTGATTTGCCCCTCTCTTTCACAATTTTTCTTTAATCCTGAATTGTAGTCAATCTTCTTTTATCTTTTGATTAACTTCATATACATACCATATGATTTAAATCTAAAAAAATCTTATTTTTACCTTAAAAAGTTATTATTAAATTATTTAAATAGTTAACCTTTCTTTCACGATGTTAAACTCTCTGATGTCTAATCTCCTTTTAAAAACCCAGTGACTAAAAAAATTTCTTTTCTGAAGCCCAAATCCTTCTTCAAACCCTGTTCCTACATGAAATTTGCCCTTCAAACTTTTAACCCATTTGTCAGGCAACCCATTGGGTTGCTAATCCATTCTGTCAGGGCAATGTTCTCCAAATTGGCCTTTCCCTTAATCCAATTGTGCGAGCGGATCCGTATCAATTTAGAACAGTGTAATGTGGTGCATCCTTGACTACCCTAAGGGGGTGTTTTTGGTATACTCAAGAATTTCGGGAAATAGCTGACAAGTTTATCATGGGTAAGAATTTTTGGTGTTTGGTGCTTTTTAATGTCAAATTTTATTAGTAAACTCGGCTTCTTGAGAAAAAAGAATTATGCTTTAGCTTGGATTCTTTTTTTTTTTTTTTAATCAAAATTAAAAGAAAAAACCTTTCTTGGACACGTAGTATGATGAGGAGCAAATAAATGTCATAATTATCCTCTAAATTTTGGCATTTAGTACAGGAAATTACATGAATAAATTTTTTGAGAAACTGCTATAACCAATTATATAGTTTCTATAATACTAAAAGTTTTTTTTTTTTTTTGAACAGCTATAATACTAAAAGTTTTACTGCAACACACAAGATATCTTTTCTTTTATGTTAGCAGCAAAGTATCTAATTAAGTCAAAACCAAAAATATTAACGAATCCATTTGAAAAAAAATATTCTACATAAAAAAAAAAACCATAAAAAATATTAGTAACTGGTGAATTACATCGGATCTATAAAAATACATATCTCATGTCTTAACCAAAAATGAAAAGTAGTGCCAATGGGCTTTCTAATTTTCTGCTTTTTTTTTTCTCGATCCAAATTCTTTTTTGTTTGTCAACATCATCTTGAGACAATTTAATTTGGAATGTAAATCAAAATAGAAAGAAAATAAAAAATTAGACAAAATATATATAATTTTTAGGGACATTCATCTCGTCTCTTGTTACAACTCATTGAACAGAATATTCTATTTTATTTTTACATTTCACAGAATATGCCATTGAATATGGAAATTACAAATCAAATTTTACCTTTTATTTTTAGAACTTTCTTTTTCAAGAAAATGCAGACCCCTTGCATCTTTCTAGTAACAATCCATCCCACCAATTTTTTCTTATATATACGAAGCCCTAACGCTAAACTTTGATGTAGTAAATTAACAGCAATTATTGCCTAGCTATCAGAAAAATTTAAGAACAATAATGGAGGGAAGGAAAAGTGATGGGCGCCAGCTGAAGAAAACAGAGGATAAGGATATGTCCTCACATCTTCGATCTGGGTTCCACAAAAACTCAGGTGAACATATTACTTTAAGTGGTGCAGAAGTTGGCAAAATTACATTAGAATCCCAAAGGAATGGGGACGTGCACCCTCTGGTGGAGTCCCACCACCGAATTAACAGTCTCGATCTCGCCAACCAGCGCAATGATGAGTTGCTTCAGCAACTAATGGGGGAGCAAGAAAGTGGAAGCATTGATTTTGATCAGATTGCTGCACAAGGGATGGAGTGGTGGAGAAGACGTATGGACAGGATGAATCCGGAGGAGTTGCAACGATTTTATGCTGTGTTGGGGATTCTCAAGGAAAGGATGCAAAGTCATTTGCAACAACGGATCAGAATTAGGGACTCTAATTCTGAGGCAACAAGCACCTCTACCCCTAGCACTAGTACTAATGGTAGAGGTAGGCGCAGACGGCGTTGATTATATTTTTCTTTTGAGATTTTAAATAAAATATTGTAATTTTTTCTTTCTTTTAAATTATTAAAAATTTGTAATTTTTTTATTATTTAATAAAAATAAAATTTTTTATTAAAAAAATAGAGAGAGAGAAAAGGATTGTGAGCTTGAAAAATTCCTAAACAAACAAAAAACTTATAAATCATTGTGAGTGGTTTAGTTGGTGAGCATAATATCTCAATTTTAAATTTAGACTTCTCTTCTCTTATAATATGATTAAATTTTTTTTTTTTTCATTTTCAACCAAAACTATATATACTTTAAAAGCCATCTAAAAAATATGAACCCTATTCTCTTAGAAGATGATTAAAAAATATATTTTTTTCATTTTCAACCAAAAACATACTTCGAAAAACCATCTAAAAAATACAAAACCCTTCAAAAAAAACCAAGAAGAAGGTATGAGATCGCGACACTTTCCAGCCTTAGCACCACATAAAGTAACAAGTTCACTGGGGTTTTGTAAACTCCATAACTAACAAGAGAAATCTACGCTGCGCAAGGGCGGACAGTTTTGTAACTGAAGCGGTTGTACAATAGTGTGAACCCATACCATCTTTCCTTGTTCATTCTACAAGAGTTCTTGTATACGTCTTATCTTTAAAACCTCACATCTGAAATCAATATGGGATCTAATGTTTGCAATGCTTGCAACAACTCTCTCATTATCATCGCATAAGCGAATGTAGGTTATTGTTATTTGTTAAGGCACAAGTCGCGCAAGTCACAACAGAAGTCTCATCAAGTTATGATTAATGTCATTCTGAGATTTTTGGGCCTCTAGCTTTTGTGGTTGGGTCGGGCTTGATTTCCCCCACTCAACTTATCGGAAAAGCCCTTTGTATTTATTATTTGAGATTTTAATCTCACATTTGTTTGTTTGTTGAAAACTGTTTGGTTGGGCATAATGTAAGTACTAGATTTGTTTTTTTATTGTAAAATTTTAGGTAAATTTCTTCGTCATTTATTTATTTTACCTACATATTATATAATATATATTGTAAATGACAAATTCACCTTGTGATGTAGAATTCAAATCCCACCCTTCTACTTATAATCATTTTTCTTAATTCTCTTATATTCAAAAGTAAATAAATTAAAAATCTCCTACTTTTACTAAAAAAAAAAAATTATCACTATACTGGTTAAACTAGTTGCATTTGAGTACTTGTTTCTTTTTATAGTGACAACTTTATCATTTTATTGTGCATAATCCCTCAGTAGTTATTACAAATGTTACTTGTTTTTTGTTGTTTCTTTTCTTCTTATTCTTTAGTTTTTCGTTATCAAGATAAAACATGTTTATTAAACAAGATAGTGATACTGTTCACACAAACATATGTATCAAGTCTTATTTGAGATCTTTGTCAACCTTATTTCCCCAGGGGAGTGGTGTTCAGACTTCATGCCGCCCGCCCTGAACAAATGGGAGGCGTGGGCTACGGGTCCCATACAAGAATTAATGGCTGCATGAGCAATGATGATTTTTCTTCAGTCAACACATGATTCTTTATTTTTTCATGGTGGGCTCGATGTTGTGGGAGTCTTATAGGTTCTTTTCTTCAAGCCGATTTCGGTCCATGGTCAAGTGTGCTAGATTCTGTGGTAAAATGGGCTAGCAAGGGCCCAAGTTGACCACGGATGCACTTTGAATTGGGCTTTTATGAGCCTTCTTCGTTTGCAGATATCGTATATCTACTTTCCATTTTTCTTTTACCAAAGAAAACGTCTAGGCCCTTGTCTCTTGTGTTTTAGTGTGGATTTTAATTGCAAAGAATTCACTCCAAGTTCTTTTGGCCTTTGGCTTAAAGGTTGACAAAAATTAAAGTGCTAAAAATCCAATATTGCTACGTATTAATTTGAAAGGAATTTTCAAAATCGTAGTTCTTGTGATTCTTCTACCATGTATATATTGAAATAAAATCTGTGACTTTAATAAAAGAATAATTGTAGTTCTAGTCATGATTACACTTGAGATTTTTCATCTAAGCTCCTAATTAATGATCAATGAAAGGATTTTTTCATTATAAAAAAAATTCTAGTTCTTGTACGTAAATGTTAATATAATCAAATTTTTTCTTCAAAAAATAAATAATCCATAATTTTCTTAATAATTAATTTCTAATCATCCACCAGCATGAGAAATAGCCGAGGACATTCAACTCAGTTCATGGGAATGGCTTAAAGTAAAAGGAAAGAATTGGGTAGTTTCCCTCACAGACAGGATATTGGAGCCCAAAGAAAGCATGAAACAGGGAGGATAGTTGGAAACTGGGCGAGGAAAAAGATAGGATGTGTTCTCAAAAGGAACACAATAATGTAATAGGCCTAATATGCTGTAACTAGATCATGGGTTCATGGTACCACTTATACTTTAAACAAATAAAGATATAATTTGTTGTTGAAAACAGAAAGCATAAGAAATAGCCCTCACTAGATATACTTTGAATGGGGTTTAACAAGCTTCTTAATTTGTTTGCAAAAAACACATATTGTCAAATTTTTTCCCCTTCAAATTTTAACAAACTTTCC